CCCAGTCCGGTCGTCGCATTTTTTGTTAGAAGTATTTGCGCACTGCCACTCGGGCCACACTGGCGCCAGTGTGGCCCGAGTGGCAGTGCGCAAATACTTCTAACAATTTTCAAGGCCCAATTTTACCACAGAATCTGGTAATTTGGTGGTAATGTTTGATACTTTGGGGGCAATATAGTACGAGCACGTTCGGAGGTACCCACAAAACGCCGGAATTCGGTACTCAAAGTTCGGTCGTACCGTCGCGATTGTGCGGGCCCCAACCACCGCAAATTTTCAATTACCGCGGAATTTGCCCTGGACCGAATTTGCCCCGTAGCAGTCCCGTGGGACGAGGAGATGCGGTCCTTGTTGGCGAACGGGACGTAGGAGCTTGTCGGAAAACCGGATGGGGTGAAGCCGGTTCCCATGAAGTGGGTTTACAAGTCAAGCGGGATGCGCTTGGAAACGTGGAGCGGTACAAGTCGCGGCTCGTGGCGAAGGGGTACTTGCAAAAGCAAGGGATAGACTTCGAGGAGGTCTATTGCCCCGTGAGCAAGCACATCACGTTGCGGGCGCTCCTAGCGGTAGTCGAGGAGCGGGACTTGGAGCTTCGTCAATTGGACGTCAAGACGGCGTTTCTCAACGGGGAGCTCGAGGAGGAGATCTAAATGCAACAACTGCAAGGGTACGAGCAAGGCGGGCCCAACGTGGTTTATCACCTCAAGCGCACCTTATACGGGTTGCGCCAAGCGCCGCGTGCGTGGCACACGCGCTTGAAAGAGGAGCTCGGGAACTTTGAGTTCGTGGCGTCCTTGGCGACGCGGCGCTCTTTCGTGAGTGGTGGACGGGGAGCGGATTTACGTCATTGTGTGGGTGGACGACATTCTCGTCGCGGCCCGGGGGGCGGAGCGGATTGCGAAGATGAAGGCACATTGGCGGAGAACTTCGACGTGCGCGACTTGAGGGAGGCGCGTACTTTGAAGCTCACACAAAAAAAGCTCACGGGGGAGCTTCTTGGGCGGCAGGGATTGGCGGGCGCACGGGCGCGCTCGGTCCCCCTCGGTGCGCGGAAGAATTTGACGAAAGAGGGTGCGCCGCTCGACACGGCGAGATTACCCTATAGCGAGCTCATTGGAAGCTTGTTGTACTTTAGCGTGTGCACGCGGCCCGACATCGCTCAAGCCGTGGGTGCTTCGGCGCGCTACACGAGCGCGCCATTGGAAGCACATTGGGCGGCGGCGCTTGGCGTGGTGCGCTACTTGGCGGGGACGGCGGAAGCCGCAATAACCTTCGGGGGCAGCGGCGAGGTCCTCGAGGCGTTTTGCGACGCCGATTATGCGGGGGACATCGACACAAAGCGTTCTACGACGGGGTACGTCTTCTTGATGTACGGAGGAGCGGTGAGTTGGTCGAGCCATCTTCAACCGATGGTGGCGGCCTCGACGGTAGAGGCGGAGTATATGAGGGCAAGGAACGCCGTGAAGGAGGCGTTGTGGTTCCACAAACTCGAAGAAGACTTGGGGTTGGCCTCGGAACGGTCCTTACTCATTGCGACAACCAAGGGGCAATACGGCTCCTCAAGCATCCGATCGCTTCGCACCGGTCGAAGCACATCGACGTGATTCATCTCTTGGCGCGGGAGGGGTGGCGCGGAAGGAGGTCGAACTCGCGTATTGCGAGACGGAGGACATGAAGGCGGACATCTTGACCAAGGCGTTGGCACCCGGAAAGTTTTTGAACTGCAAGAAGGAAATAGGAATCGCATAGGATACTTAGTTCGTGGGGGAGTGTTAGATTTGGGCTGTACTAGCCTTGAGTACGCCCTATCATCCTATGATGTGTCGGCTATAGAATCGTAGGTTTGATGCATAAGGTCGACCCTACGTTTGTGAGCTTGCATGATTGAGTATCCACCTTAGGATGTGCGAAAAGTGAGCCGTAGGATTGAGGCCATTGTGCATGGGTTTTTTTGTAAGCAACGTAGATTAGGGACCGTCGATCTTGTGGATTGAAACACCTAGGGTAGTAGCTATGCTTGACCATGGCTATAAGACGATGGACTATGTAGCAAAAGAACCACGCTTATTCCTAGTTGTTGTGCACTTGAAAGGCGCTTGCTTTCAAGACTCCCAACATCTTTTTGTGCTTGTCAAATGTTCCTACATGCTTCAAAAGCCTCATCTTTGAGCACTATTTTGTTGCTTCTTTCAAAGTGTAGATTATAACACCATCTTACGGCTCCATCACACTGCGTTACGGCCGAGCGGAAAATTTGATGTCCTTGTACCGTAAATCTTACACAATCGTCACCCGCTGTAACGCAAACCGCCAATACTACTGACGTAATTTGATACGCCTCGAGTCCCATTATCGTCGTGAATCGAGTCAGAATCGATTCTGTCGGTTCCCACCCTAGGTAGCTTGTGTGTAACCTCGAGTTGCAGCGGCGCCGTGCACAGTTGCGCGGTACGTTTCTTCTCTGGTCCCGCTGGTATTTCGGTTGGAGGGGCACTGGGATTGTAACGAAGGCAACATGGTTGGCCACATTCACCACATTGCCGAATTGGACTTCTCTCTATTAAAACATTTAAGGTGCTGTTTTGAGTCCTAATTTGTTACTACACCGTTGTTGGCAGGTGATCATGGGCCCTCTTGTGCATCGTGACTTTCTCCCATTCTATCCTACTATCCCACGTTGGAGGTCGTGTTACAATCCGGTGATTATGGTCAGCCGGATTACTCCGTGATTAGGGTTCGGACCGAGTTAGGGTTTGAACTAGTGAGCGCCGGCGTGCGTGCACAGCGGTTAGGCGGTTAACCTTGGAGGTTAGGCGGTTGAGAGGGCCGCCGATATGGAGCCGTAGATGAGGATATCGATGGCTATGATTGAGTGTGAGTGTGATCTAGGCTAGTGAGCCTAGTAGTGTGTGACTTAGGCTGT